CTCTCTCTCTCTCTCTCTCTCTCTCTCTCTCTCTCTCTCTCTCTCTCACACACACACACACACACACACCAAAAACCCGGACACTGAAAATGCCTTCTCTTTAATCAAGAAACAAGGAATTCCTTAGAATCTTTTTTTTTCCCCAAGTGGCCCTCTTTAAAAAAAAAAATGGAGGTAACACTTTCATTCAAAAAGTCTTCCAGTATCTGGAGTCGCTCAGACATATTGAAGTGAGGCAGGAGAGTAAGTGAAATTTGAAATGATCCAGCTACCGTTTTCTTCCCCTCCCGCCCGAAGGCCATTATCTCCACGTCAAAACGAACGAGGGGAGGCAAAGAAGCCAAACACGCTAAAAAGGATCTCTTTATTTTCCTACACAAGGTCACACCTACTTTTCCGCATTCAAAGGACAACCTCTCCTCACCACCACCACACACACACACACACACACACACCAATACCCGCAAACAATGTTCTGGGCATTAATCACCATTGCTACATTAACCTGGTAAATTTATACCCTGCCTCCCCCAGTGTTGCTTTGACGGCAAGATTTCACACAGCGGGGCGCTCGCTCGCTCTCTTCTCCGCTCTCCCACCGTTCGCACATGTTGGAAGCACCGTAAAACCTGATAACCCACCCGGGGGCTCCCCCATCCTTAACCTACAGCCGCCCGCATGCAAAACCTGCGTGCAAAAAGAAAAAAAAGAAAAAGAAAAGTACGCCACACATGAGGATCTTCGAATCATCTCCTCCCCACACCGCTAAGGAAGGAAGAGGGGGAAAGGTTGCGCAGCGCGTGGCGAGTGACACCCGCCACACACACACACACACACACACACACCGCTCCCCCCCCAGCCTCCCTCCCGGCTGCAACTCAAGCTCGAAGTGGGAGTCGGAGTCCTCCCGGCGTATAAGACGACCCCCCCACTTGGAGGCATGTTTTTCAGGGCAAAAAAGTCGTCTTATACGCCAGCAAATACGGTACATATACATATACATATACATATACATATACATATACATACATACATACATACATACATACATACATACATACATATATACACACACACATACACAAAAAGATAGATAGATGTGTGTGTGTGTGTGTGTGTGTGTGTGTGTGTGTATGTATGGTATTCAGCTTTGTTCGGGTATTTTCCCACGTCGTCATAGTTGTGCTTTTAAAGTTGTAGCAACGTTTCGGCAGAATCTCATCTGCCATCATCAGGCTTCTGTATTGTGTTCGTCTGTGAGTCAGACTTTCACAGCCGTTTCAGTTTTAAATTTCAGTTTTAAAGCCTACTGCTGTGCCAGAATGTTTTTTTCTTCCTCCTGATTGGTTGGGAGTCTTGATCTGTGTTTATTGGTCCTGGAATTTGCTGTGTTCTGCTTGATTGGTGTTTCTAATATCTTCTGATTGTTTTGTGGCTTTTTTGTCTTGATTGGCTGGCAACATTGTGTTCCTGTATTGGAGGCTTTTAGTGCAGCTTGACTCCGAGTAAATGGACGGCTATCATTTGTTAGGAAGCTAGGTTTCATCTGGGTGCCTGGTTGGGGTGTGTTTGAGCTGGAGGTATCAGGGAGATCTGTTTGTGCCCAGGTGTTTGCCTGGCTTGTGGTGTGGAGATTTTTTTGTTTGAGAGTGCAGGCTTCCAGATAATTGACATTCTGGTGGAGTCATCTCTTCTATTCATGCTTTCAATTCTTTTTTCAATCTCTATGGCTTCTCTGATAATTCTGTAGCTGGGGTTTTCTATGGTGGCTAGGGTTTTGGTGCCATTGAAGTCGATGCTATGACCTGTGGCTTTCATGTGTTGGACTAGTGAAATCCAGCCTAACTAAATTAAATACAGATGAAGCTGACAGAATAAGACACCAAGTCACTAACATCCTTTGCACAAGCAAACCACCCAAAAGCAACTTGCACAAAAAGGAACTAAAAGCCCTGCAAGCATTAAGGAATGATAGCAGCATAATGATACTTCCAGCAGATAAAGGTACTGCCACGGTAGTAATGAATAGAAAAAACTACGAAATAAAATTGACAGACCTACTCCAAGACTCCACATACAAACTCATAAACACGGACCCAACCACATATCTGGAAAAATAACCAAGAAAAAAATTATAACCAGCCACATGAGCAAAGAGATCCAACAGACGATCATCCCAAGAGAAAAATCTTCCAGATGCCCCAAACTATATGGCCTCCCAAAAATACACAAAGAAGGCATACTTCTCCGACCCATAGTCAGCTCCAGAGGAGCACCACTACAAAACCTAGCCAAATACCCAGCAAAGCAGCTACAGCCCCATGTGTACAAAACTCATACAACCTCTTGGAAATGATCAAAGATCTACACATGGAACAAGAAGATCTGCTTGTAAGTTTTGACGTGGTTTCACTATTCACTCAAGTCCCGAGAAAAGAAACTCTCGAAATCATCAAAAATAAATACCAACCACCCAAACACCTCATGGAACTAACAGAACACTGCTTAACCAACACATATTTCATATACAAAGGACAAAGATACAAGCAAATTGAAGGAGCCCCTATGGGATCACCACTGTCACCCTCATTGCAAACCTGTTCATGGAAGAATCTGAATCCAGAGCTCTAGCCAATGCCACCCAGAAACCCAAACTATGGTTAAGATACATCGATGACACATTTGTTATTTGGCCCCATGGAAAAGAAAACCTAAACAATTTCCTAACACACCTAAACAGCACACACCCCAAAATCAAATTCACCATGGAAATGGAAACAAACGAACAACTACCATTCCTAGATGTACTAATCTACAAAAAAAAAGATGGCACACTAGGACACACCATATACCAGAAGAAAACACACACCAACCGCTACCTCAATGCCCAATCCCACCATCACCCAGCACAGATAAACTTCGTGGCCAAAACACTAACTGCCAGAACCAAACGTCTGACAGACAAGACACACATAAAGACTGAATTATGCACCCTGACTAAAGTACTGACAGCCAACGGCTTCCACAACAGCAAAATCACTGGCTTGATCCACAAAAACACACTGAGACATAATGGAGACCTAGAAGATGAACAGACCTATGGAACAGCTGTCCTGCCCTACATAAGAGGTACTACAGACAAAATCAGCAAGATACTACACAGGCATCACATCAAGACTGCCTTCAAAACAGACAGAAAAATAGCAGCCATTCCAAGAAACCCCAAAGATAAAATTGACCTGGAAAACCAAGGCACATATGAAGTCCCCTGTGCATCATGCCCGGACACATACATTGGACAGACCAATAGAAGAATAAGCACCCGGTTAGATAAACACAAAAATACAGTAAAAAAGCTGGAACACACTTCCTCACTAGTCCAACACATGAAAGCCACAGGTCATAGCATCGACTTCAATGGCACCAAAACCCTAGCCACTATAGAAAACCCCAGCTACAGAATTATCAGAGAAGCCATAGAGATTGAAAAAAGAATTGAAAGCATGAATAGAAGAGATGACTCCACCAGAATGTCAATTATCTGGAAGCCTGCACTCTCAAACAAAAAAATCTCCACGCCACAAGCCAGGCAAACACCTGGGCAGAAACAGACTCCCCCGATACCTCCAGCTCAAACACATTCCAACCAGGCACCCAGATGAAACCTAGCTTCCTAACAAATGATAGCCGTCCATTTACTCAGAGCCAAGCCGCACTAAAAGCCTCCAATACAGGAACACAATGTTGCCAGCCAATCAAGACAAAAAAGCCACAAAACAATCAGAAGATATTAGAAACACCAATCAAGCAGAACACAGCAAATTCCAGGACCAATAAACACAGATCAAGACTCCCAACCAATCAGGAGGAAGAAAAAACCATTCTGGCACAGCAGTAGGCTAGCCCCAAATTTAAAACTGAAACGGCTGTGAAAGTCTGACTCACAGACGAACACAATACAGAAGCCTGATGATGGCAGATGAGATTCTGCTGAAACGTTGCTACAATTTTAAAAGCACAACTATGATGACGTGGGAAAATACCCGAACAAAGCTGAATACCATACACACACACACACACACACACACACACACACACGCACACACACATACATGTATGTAATGTGTATATGTGTTTTATGTTTGTGTATGGATAGATATATAACTTTCTTTTGAAAGCAAGCAACAAAATTTCATTTTTAATGTGTGCCCGTGTGCTCATAGTAAAAAAATGAAAAAAGTTATCTCCATCTCCATCCCATCCCATCCCATCCCATCCCATTCAGGATGCCTTACATTGTTTGGATTTTGTCTACTGGCTCACCCTCAAATTCTATGAAAACCTGGCTTGGTCAAAGTGCCTAAACATTTTGTCAGGATTATATTAGCTTTTCTCCATGAAATTTATTGAAACATTCCAACAGTAAAATATGTATTGGTTGTTAATTTGGTAATAGATATCAGTGATATATTATTAATCATATTAATTATTATATATAATTTTAATATGAGTATGCATTTTGAATTGATTGAATTTTTAGAACATCATATTAAGGAGATATTTTTAAGACAATGTTCATATTCTGTTGATAACTTGATATTGTATATACTTTTGTATATCAACTTTCAACAAGTTAGGCTTAACTTTGGGAATGAAATATAAATAATAACATATAAAATGGATTTCTAGCTTTTTACGAATGTTGATTATAATATAGGAATTAGTAAATTAGGAATAAATTTATATTACAGTTTCATTAATTATTGTTCTTTTATATCTTAGGATCAAATTCTTGGCTTGTACCAGAAACAAAAGGTGCAATAGTACAAGGTGGATATGGCCATACCAGTGTCTATGATGATACAACAAAGTCTGTATATGTTCATGGAGGCTACAAAGCATTGCCCAGTAATAAATATGGATTAGTTGATGATCTTTACAAATATGAAGTTAATACTAGAACATGGTAAAATTATGTTCTTTTTTATATATGTATGTATATGTGTCCGTGTTTGTGTGTGTGCATTTATAGTATATGTATAAATATTCTCATACATTTTGTTAACTGATTGAATATTATATGAGTGCTTAAGTTTGATACCGAAATGTGAAATTTACCTTTACTCAATAAAACAAAACAGTACCATTGACTCAACCTTTCATCCTTCTGGGGTTAGTAAAATAAGGATCCAGATTGTTGGGGAGCAATATGCTGACTCTATAAATCTCTTAGAGAGGGCTGTAGAGCATTAAGAAGTGGTATATAAGTCTTAAGTGCTATTGATATTCTACAACTAGGATTAAACTTGTTTTCTTTTCTGACATAATAGTTGATATTGCTAAATATTTTGAATTTTGTTAAACATCAACTCTCATATTCTCAATGTTATCACACTGTCCAGAGGATCAGATATTTCAGATATATGTATTAATAGTAACAACATCATTCTACAGTATGGAACTTAACTCCCCCCGATCTCTTGGACAGAATTGTGAGAAATATCAGTTCACATGGGGTAGATACAGAGGAGTGTAGAAAACAGTGAACAGGGAATCATCTTCGATCAATTTAACGTTAAGAGTTAAGATTAATTTAACATTAAGAGTTGTTAACCTAATCTTATGTAGCTTTTTCTCTGGTAATATTACACTAATAGCTAGAGCATACAAAACATTTGCTAGACCAATACTCAAATACAGCTCATCAGTCTGGAACCCACATTACGTATCTGATATTAACACAGTTGAGAAAGTCCAGAAATATTTCACAAGAGTTCTCCACTCCTCTACTCATTGCAGAATACCTTATGCCATCAGACTCGAAATTCTAGACCTAGAAAATCTAGAACTATGCAGCCTTCGGTCTGATCTAAGTATAGTATATAAAATCATACATTGCAATGTCCTACCTGTCAATGAATACTTCAGCTTCAACCATAACAACACAAGAGCAAACAATAGATACAAACTCAAGGTTAATTGCACCAAACTTGATTGCAGGAAATACGATTTCAGCAACAGAGTAGTCAATGTCTGGAATACTCTACCTGACTCTGTGGTTTCTTCCCCAAACCCCAAAAACTTTAACCTTAGACTGTCTACTATTGACCTCACCCCTTTCCTAAGAGGTCTGTAGGGGGCATGCATAAGTGTACCAATGTGCCTACCGTCCCTGTCCTATTGTTTCTTTTCCGCCCCTTATATATCCATGTATTCATAACTATGTTTTTACTTATACCTATTATCTTGTAAGCAATTGACAAATAAATAAATAAATAAATAAATAAATAAATAAAATTTGATCAAGAACTTTTTACTAAAATCTCAGACTTCATGTATAATGTATAAACCAAATTAAAATAGAACATGGATTATCTGATTTACTATAATTTCAAAATTGTAATTCATCTGGATTTGCATGATACTACTATCAGAAAGTAAGCTATAAAAGGCTTTTTTGTACTGTTATAACTGGAGGTCATGGGATTAGGAACAATATTCCTTAACAGATTTTAGAATAGGCATTATTTTACAACTGCATTGGAAAACAGCATAGGCAGAAAAGATCCACTGGCAATTGTGGTTTTTGGGCCTTAAGCTCCTCTATATGTTCGCTCAGGGTTGATATTAGAAAAGTTATCAAATATCACCATCCAAATTTATGTTTATGCATTCAGATGTGTAAAAATTGCTTGAAAGAGTCCTTAAAATTATAGAGAAAATATTGGATCTGCAAAAAAAAAGTCAGCTGTTATATTTTATTTTATATTTTAATATAAATTTATTATATTTTATATTTTAACTTCAAAAGTCCCCAAGATAACAAGAAATTTAAAGAAAAGAATGGTTACAGCTTATTATTTCCTTGTCTGTTTCAAGACGATCCATAATATAGTTCTTGAAATTTGTTTTTCTGTGCATTTAAACAGATGTGATTGCTAGCACTGTGTCTAAATAAATATTGTTTACTTTTTAGTTATTCCACACAGATCACCTTGACTCCTTTTGATACCTTATATACTCCTTTTTTCTCAACAGGACAATTTTAAAAGAGAGTGGCTTTGCAAGATATCTCCACTCGGCTGTTTTGATGAATGGAGCGATGTTAATTTTTGGTGGAAACACTCATAATGATACATCATTAAGTAATGGTGCAAAGTGTTTTTCTGCTGATTTCCTGGCCTATGATATCGGTAGGTATAAGAGTAAATGTTTGAAAGGGTGAAACTCCAAATTCAATATATACTATATAGAATATAGTATAGAATATAGTATATAACTTATAACAAAATTATGATTCAGTATGTATACAATAACCTGCTCTATAAAAGTTCTTCATTTCATAAATATGAATATTTATAACTCTATTTTTATTCTAAGACAAGCCACATTTTTATCATGTTAATCCTGTTTGACCAGTAGATAGAAAATTGAAATGCTTCTGATCGCAAATTTCTTTTCTTTGTACAATATTCAAGGGTCTCGATTTAGCATTCATTCATTCATTCATTCATTCATTCATTATTTTACATTGCTGAACTCCCAGAGACACTGAGCAGTTCACAGATAAAAGGGGACAGAGGACAATAATACAATCATAAGACAAAGAACAAAAGATGGCACCAGACAGGCTACAACCAAAGCAAATCCACATTACTGAAAAGGCAATTTCAGTCCCTTTGTCAGAGGGATAGATTTATAGAGTGAACAGTCTTTTTGGTCCTCCATTTTAAATCTATAATTCTTAATATAATAATATTTTTAGGCATAAAAAGTCAGAATGTATTTACATACCATATTTGCCGGCGTATAAGACGACTTTTTTGCCCTGAAAAACATGCCTCCAAGTGGGGGGGTCGTCTTATACGGCGAGTATATAACAAAGGTCGTCTTATACGCCGGCAAATACGTTGTTGTCACTCGGTGCAAGAGCTACGGGGGCGGAGCTCCGCAACTTGCGAAGCCCCTTCAAGCCCAGCCGGAGTCTCTCTTCCTCCTCCTCCCCCCCCACCCACCCACTCCGCTCGTGCGAGCGGACAGGCAGGCTCCAGGCTTTGCCCCCATCCCTCACCTCCTTCCATCCCCCTCCACCACCACCCCAGTGGCAGAAACTTCGCCGCACGTAGGGACGAGTAGAGGGGGTGGGAGAGCAGCGACGCAGCTCAAAGCTGAGAAAGCGCCATCCTTGCTTTTGTGCTTCGGGAAGAGTTCGTGTTTTTTGTTTTTTTGTTTTTCTCCCAGGAATGGGATGCTGCTCGTGCGATTTTCTTTGGGAATTTTTCTCTTCCCGGTTTCAGCCTTTGCTCCGAATCCTCCTCCCCCCCCATTCACTTCTGGAAAGGATGCTTGTGTAACTCTTTTCCTAAGCGTTGCTGGGGTGGAGGGGGGGGCAGTGTGCAGCGTGAGCGAGAGGCTCTTTTCCTTTCTCCCTGAGCGCAAAACCGTCTGCCTTCTTCTCTCTTGGACGGACCGAGCAAGGCTAATAAGATAATAATAAGATAAGATCCTAAGCGCGTTGTGGAAACAGATCTGGATCTCATTGGAGAAAGGTAGCAAATGAATGAACTGGACTTTTGGCAAGTCTCGGGGTAGGAACTCGACGCTTTCTGGAAAGTTAGTGAGCAGGAAAATAGACATCCTTTCCGCTTTCTCCCAGCGTGGGTATTTCATTATCCCTCCCTGTAAGAAGTAACAACCACAAAGCCAAGGGAAAAAACGATGCGCAGGAAAAAGCCACAGTAGGAAGCAAAGATTTCTCCCCCCCCCTCTCTCTGAAATAATTAATGTCGCAATCAGTGTGGTGCACCCTTGGAGACAAATTGGTTGGGGAGGTGGAAAGATATTAAGAAACAACTCGACTGTTTTTCGTCCAGTTTTATTTTTATTTATTTATTTTCCCCTGAAAAAAGCAGATCGCTCAACGGTGTCACAAAGAAAGGGAGAGGAATTGAGTGCCAGCCTGAGAAAGGCGAAGCTGCCTCTCTAAAGCATTTTGGTGGCTTTGTAAGTTTGGGGGAAAGGGGTGGGGGTGTCAATCAAGAATTATATCCAGAATACCCCAAGTGTTACAACTTACCGTATTTGCCGGCGTATGACTTTTTTGCCCTGAAAAACATGCCTCCAAGTGGGGGGGTCGTCTTATACGGCAAGTATATAACAAACTCTATATTTTGAGTGGAAATGTTGGGGGCTCGTCTTATACGCCCAGTCGTCTTATACGCCGGCAAATACGGTATTTAAATACAATTAATCTTTGTAAAATACTTTAACACAATTAAAGAATAAACTAAAATGTCGTAAGACGGGGACATGCAAGTTATATATATGTATGGTATTCAGCTTTGTTCGAGTATTTTCCCACGTCATTATAGTTGTGCTTTTAAAGTTGTAGCAACGTTTCGGCGGAATCTCATCTGCCATCATCAGGCTTCTGTATTGTGTTCGTCTGATGAACACAATACAGAAGCCTGATGATGGCAGATGAGATTCTACAGAAATGTTGCTACAACTTTAAAAGCAAAACTACAATGATGTGGGAAAATACCCGAACAAAGCTGAATACCATGCATATAAATACCTGCGAAAACTTAAGAAAATCTATCTATCTATCTATCTATCTATCTATCTATCTATCTATCTATC